GAGCTACTAGTAGCTTCTTGCTCCTAGTAGTGATGCCCTTTGTTACTTACTAGTAGCTTCTTGTTACGAGTAGTAATGTCAGGAGCTACTAGTAGCTTCTTGCTCCTAGTAGTGATGCCCTTTGTTACTAGTAGTAGTCCAGGAGCTACTAGTAGCTTCTTGCTCCTAGTAGTGATGCCCTTTGTTACTAGTAGCGTCTTGTTACTAGTAGTAATGCCAGTAATGCCAGGAGCTACTAGTAGCGTCTTGCTCTTAGTAGTGATGCCCTTTGTGACGAGTAGTTTCTTGTTACTAGTAGTATTGCCAGGAGCTACTAGTACCTTCTTGCTCCTAGTAGCGATGCCCTTTGTTACGAGTAGCTTCCAGCTCCTAGTAGTGATGCCCTTTGTTAGTAGTAGCTTCTTGTTACTTGTAGTAATGCCAGGAGCTACTAGATGCTTCTTGCTCCTATAGTGATGCCCTTTGTTACTAGTAGCTTTTTGGTACTAGTAGTATTGCCAGGAGCTACTAGTAGCTTCTTGCTCCTAGTATTGATGCCCTTTATTACGACTAGCTTCTTGTTACTAGCAGTATTGCCAGGAGCTACTAGTAGCTTTTTGCTCCTATTAGTGATGCCCTTTGTTACGAGTAGCTTCTTGTTACTACTAGTTGGAAATGACGAACATCACTGAATCTTTTGGTTCACACTTTTTGTGAGGAGATGTTGGCAGTTTTGCTTTGGATCGTATACGCACACGATGATTGTTCGATGGTACTGGTACGAGATTGTGGGTGAATAGTTCATCATGTATGAATTTTATGCTGTAAGTAGCTGGCGTATCGATGCCCCCAGTCTTCATGGTTTTTAATTACTCTGTTTCCGCGATACTGTTCCCCTTCCAGGCATTGTCCAAAGTAGTCAAACAAAGTGTGCTAGAAGAGGATGAATGAGGATGAGGATGATGAATGATGTATATAATGTTTTTATCTTGGCTGCGCTTCACGCTTGCAATTGAAGATGGTTTGCAAGGTTAATGTTTCCCTTGGCCTTGGGCGCGCAGTACATGGGCCTCAATCACAGCCGAATCTCGCTGAATGTCCTGGCGCGGAGCTTTCCCTGGATTGGAATCCATGTGGACGTCCTTCGTACAGGCCAGCGAGCAGTTTGGCCACTCTTTCGATCTCACATGCTGCTGGCCAGGATAGTTGAAGCTTTGATACCATACGGTTTTCAAACAGGGAAATATGTTCTCTTTACCGTTACAAAAGGGTCTGATTTGGACCAGTGGTGCCCGCACCAAAGGTTGTTCTTGCTGGTCCAGTCCTTTGCATACCTTAGCTGCAACCTGGCCTGGAGATTCTTACTCTACCGGAAGTCATCGCCTGAGGGCTTTGAAGAGAACATTTTCAGCTTGTGTTCCTTGGTGGAGCTCTTCAATCTGATCTTTGTTCGGTCTGTGCACTCTGCTGGCTTTTATCCCAAAGTAGTGACAGCCTCCATCGTGCCTTGCCTGAGGTTTCCATTCGATGTGCCTTTTTTTAAGTTTTCCCAAGGCTGACAGGACATTGCAAATTAGCATACTCGTGCGGAGTATGTACCCAAAGAGATTTCAGCCAATATGGCATGAATATAAGATATATATATATATATCTATATACATCATATGTGTTCAATCGTGTACAACTCAAACAATCTGGCGCTGCTTACCTCAGGGAACGTTGAGGGAATTTGTCCAAACTGGTGCGTTTCTTTATTGCTCGGCCAGGACCTGGTTGGGGAAGCACTTAATCCAAAGTTAACATGGCCCACAATCTAACAATGGCTGTACTGTTGCTAGGTGGCACGTTTTAGTGTCATTTAGGAAGATTGGGTTTGTCCCGTGGGCTAGTGTGCCTTGCTGGCCTTGCATGAATAAACCCGCCAGGTCTACTTGCACTTCTACATTTTTTGCTCCCTGTACCCATTTCACAACTTGGCATTTGCTGCTTGCTGCTCACTGTGTGCCTACGCGATGGTCTACTGCTTGAACCATTTCGAGGACCACATTAAACTTGCAGTAATGTTTTTGAATTTTAGACACTCAAAAAAAGCTTGCCAAAGGAGCATGCTTTGTGTATGTCATTCATGTCAATGTGCATGTCTTGCATGTCCCATGGAGTTTGTCGGATCCTGATACCGGTACAATGTAGTTGCTCTTGCGCTCCTCACTCAGAAGATGCGATGATTGCTTTTTCAGAGTAGCCTCAGTAGGAGCCTGCCATTCGGCAAGACCCTTTCAGCAGCAGCACACCAACAAATGCACATCCAAGAGCACTTTTCATGCCAATGCTTTCACCGTCATGGACCATGGAGGCCAGGGTTGAACGAAGGTGATATGAAACTCATTCTGGGTGAATGACTGATGTTTGACAGTACATGAGGACTCCACGACCCCCACTGATGCTTGAGGCTGCTCCACTCTGGACCATGTTCTACCCTGCGGAGCCTCCGTCAGCCTTTCCTGAGGATGCCGCTTGCTTAGACTTTGAAGGCGAAATGTGTTCGTGTGCTTTGCATCATGTGTACAGTTTGGATGTGCAACACTTGTGCTTTCATTTTCCTGAGGCTATGAGACACATTCAGAGCGAAGAGTACAACATGCCGTAAACGCACTCTGACTCTTGCTCTTTGGCTCCTGCACTGTGACTGTGTGACTTCAGGAGAGTCACACCAAAGACATACTCATGTTACTATTTATAATGGCTTCCTTTGTCCTAACGTGTAGTGCAGGTGGATTATGTGTAAGATGTTTATAGTATTTGCTAACAACGTGCTACTGGCAGTATGTTGGCTTCCACAGATTTCACAGCATTATTTGGCCAGAATGCCAGAACCCTGGGACACCAGACTCCTATACTGAGTTGCTTCGTTGGTGTTCCAAGGTCCCGGAGCACGTTGCAGCTTGCTAATGTGCGGGTAAAACACCTGTGCAATGCACCAGCCTGCATCAATCATTCAGACAAAGACAGGAGCAGTCATATAGCGGGACATTGTTCCGCATCTCAATTGAGATACAGTATACTGTATATATAGTTATACTATACACATATTCTTGCTGGGACTCTTGAATGAGATCCTATAAGCCATGCCTAGAGTACCCTAGAGTATGGCCAACAACAAATTAATTTGTAAGAGCGCCGGAGCGTCTTGTGCCACAGGGTGTGTCAACCGGTTGACGCTTCGTGGCAGATATGCTTGAGTTGCCTTTTTGCTTCGTAAACTCTCGCAGGTGGCTCCTGCAGGAGACAGCGTGCCCCTTCCTCAGATGAGGCGGGGTTAGTGGGGAGAGGGTCAGAGGGTGACTCAGGACTCAAGCTTTGATTCTTCCAAGTTTTGATGATACTGCAATATTCGCTTTGTTTATATCGGTAATTCTTACTTGTTGAGTCGAGTGCCAGGAAGCAGCAAAGGCTCAAAGCAAAGAGCTGAGACGAACCAAAGCTGCTAGTTCAATAGGGGACTTGACGTATTCAGGCAACAAGCACACAGAGGTACAATCACAATGTTTCTGCAATGCTTTTTACAGTTTTATCAGGCCACTCTGCTTAGCACTGAGGCGCTCCTCCAGAAACGCCGCCGGGCCCTAAAAACGGGACGAGTAGCAACGAAAGAATGATCCTCCTCTAAGCTGTTGCCCACATGAACTGCTGCCCCCAGCAGGGTTTTATGAATTGCAGCTGGCGGACTCTAGGCTTCGTCAATCTAATAGCGATGGCCTCCAACCTAATAGCAATGGCCTCCAACCTAATAATTAGTGACCTAATAGTGTCTAACTGTAGGAACTCTTTCCTTGCGATTGTACGGTTTTCCGATCAATCTGTTCGCTTAGGCCTGTGGATCCTCGACGGCTCAGAGTCATACAGGAGACGGCTGAGGGTTCTTCAATTCATTTGTGAGGGACGTGATGGACGAGACTTTGGCCGTTTGTCCTTGAGAATGTTTGACTGCTTCATTGAGGCTTGCATTGTCTGGAGTTGAAGGAAATCTGTAGGTGTGTGGTCCTCTTGATCAGGCTCATGCACCTGACCTTGCCAGGACTACTCTGATGTCGTTTAGGGGTAGAGCCTCTGCCTGGACACCGCAAAACTAAGCAGATTCGTTCATTGTCCGGCATGATCTGGCCTGTGCACAAAAGATCCAGAACTAAATGCAGGCATGACATGGCATGCGCAAGTGGAGAAGCATCCATGTTCAGTGGAAAGTGCTTGGGTGTGGGAGAGCATGGCCTGAGAGTCGTCCTGACAATGTGTTTGTGTTTGCCTGTTGTGCAAATATTACACTGTAGACTGTAATATACTAGTATATATATATATATTTTTTTTAAATAGCTGTAGATACCAAAGCGCCAAAGCTGAGTGGCTCAAGACTAGCTACTGAGTAGGAGTTAGCCAGAACCAAGCTTCTGATGTGTTTTGATCGAATGGCACACTCCCTTCGGGGATGATCCGAGTTGAGGCCTTGAAGGTCACATACAAATGCCTTACATGGTTTTGACCGGACCGACAAACGCAACCAATTGCCATAGACATGTGGACCCCCAACTTACTGGACAAGCACCGGGGCTCCATTGCAAAGGCAAATCAGTACGACTAGCAAGTGCCGGGTGTGTCCCAGCGCATTTCACGTCCCTGTTTCCAGTGCGATGGAGCAAATGCGCCTTTTCAGGAATAGCTGCCTGAACAGCCAGGGATTCTGTAGCACCTGCTGACCCTGTTGGGATGTTCAAGCAAAGAGGACTGCGATTGTTCATCAAGAGCAAAAAAGAACCTACGATCATCGTAAGTCCCTCTAGTTTCATTTGGGTTGGTTTGCACTTATGTTGTATAGTAGCAGACCGTTTTTATCTTGCAGCTGAGGCTGCCTCGTGAACAGGAAGGTCTACCAAGAAGGGACCCAGCCTCTTGTTCATGGATTTAGCAACCGCCAGATGGAATGCTGAAGTGCAGAGACTCAAGAGGAAACACAACTTGCAGATGTGTTCATTGCAAGCGGCAATCGGCTTGGCTTGCAAATTTATGTTATTCAATGTTATTCAATAAAGTTCAATTCAAGCCACAAGCAATGCTTTTAATAATGTCTAAGTCTAAGCATTTATATAACCAAGTAAATTCAGGGTAGCCTAGAAATGGTTGACCATGGGCGCAGAATACGGACGCAGGTTGGTGTGCGTTTGAATGGAAAGTCGGCGTCGGAGAGGTGCGAACTTGGTTGTGTTGCTGCCATCGTATAACATAGCTACTAGTAACGAGGGCAATACTACTAGGAGCAAGAAGCTACTAGTAGCTCCTGGCATTACTACTAGTAACAAGGAAGTCATTTGGAGGATGAGAGCAATGAGGATAAATGGTTTGAACCTTTGTGGTCTACAAATTGCCAAACAGCGATGTTGTTGAGCCCCAGATGTTTCATGTTGTTTCATTTGTGTTGTTCTCGGTCTCATTTCAGTAATTACATACTTGTCATGAAATAAGCACAACGTGTTTCTGCTTGCTCGTCCAAACCGGAGGGTAAGGCGATCAGGCGTCTAATGCCTTAGCCCTATGAAATTACTATGTGTCGAACGATTTGGAACCTGCAACATGCCAAAAGTCATGTGTCAAGGATGGAGTTTGCAACCAATCTGGGAGCACTACCCGCCACATTGCAATCTTGCGATGTGCAAGTTTCCTCGTATCAGGCACAGAACATAAGTCTCATAAATGCTCGTTTCACTGACTCACGTGCAGTACACTGTAGGAGCTTGGACCTGCACTCCATGGCCTCCAGTGCCTCTAGTTGGACAGCACCGACCTGAGGACAATAAAAAAAAGATGAAAAGTAAGGGTACCTTTACTGAGGTCCCTTGAAATGGGGGCCTTCTTGAAGGGCCTAGGGGCCCAAACCTTTTTGTTAAACGTGTTTTCGATGTTCAACTGACTGAATTCCAAGGCCGGGCCACCGGTGCCAACGAGATCCATGTCCAGATGCACAGAGAGGGTTTGTTTGTCATATTGCGACCATGCATGGAAGTGAATGCAGGCATTGTTCTTTTGCAATTATGCTTTTAATGCGAAACCAATGTCTATGCAGCTTTGCAAGCGCCCTCTTCGGAAGTCTTTGAACACTTCAGGTGGATGGTTATTAGCCACTTGTATATCCTAGTCTTTTTGGTTCTTGACCAACGTGTGGTACCTCATTGCTGAGGTAGCAAACCAATTGAGAGAGAGGGAGAGGTGTGTTTTAAATACAAGCGGTCCTGATGTGGTGATTGGGGTTACAAGAGCATCCAACACCATAATCCCTGTTTTGCCTCCTTCATGACAGTTGAAACACTCAACTGTGATGTACTGCCAATATGTGTCAATACTGATCCAGATCCTATTGACTTGATGTATGATGTGAAAACAAACCTGTGTACTACGGCCCGTGTACTGTATACAGTATACATTTGCTTGCTCTAGTCTATACCCCTTTGTATGGTGCATTGCACAGTGCCCATGACTTGAGAACCATTTCTCTAACCCGCAGCTAGCAAGGCGGCTTTGGTTTTCAGAAAGCTATCTCTTGGTTGGCATTTTGTGGACTTTCCTGGGATGTTGATGAGGCCACGCGGGCGCTTGATGGGCATGCCAAAAGGAAACGAGGCGGCAACTGTTCTTCATTTGTAGACGGTTCAACCAGCTCGGGGCACTTGTGGCAGCATTTGCAAGAACTGCTTGTGGCCCCCAGAGCAACGAGAGCCATGAGAGCCAGATGAAGCTGGTTCCGGCTCTCTCGGCTAATTGCACTTAAGGTCGTGAGTATTTATGAGCATCAAGACTCGAATCAAGACCATGGACCTGCAATCATACTATGTCCTACTACAAATATATATATATATACACATACATATATATGCATTTCACGCCGCCATTGGAGGAGCTATTTGAGGTTGCTCACGAAGGTGTACAGCGCTTATCAGAGCATGTCGCCCGGATTCTCAGAGAACGGAACTTGTTGAGAATTTCAAGGACAAACCAAAGCAACCACTTTGTTTAGTAAGAGCTCAATTCGTGTGGATACCGCACGGTTTGCGCGGAGGGATGCTTTCAGCTTCAATAGTTTGTTTATATATTGGATAGAGACAGTTCATATCTTAGCCGTCGACGATCATTAACGTTGCATGTTTTGCTGGGTCTCACACCGCAAGCAGCCTTTGTGGATGTTCATATCAGTCCCATGTATTTGAATGAGACTTTTGCCCAGGCCGATTCCGAGCAAAAGGCTTTGCAAATGGCCAAAGAGGTGATTGATGAGCTGGGAGCACAGCATTGCAGGTTTTCTCGCGAGTACTGTATACAGTATATTGAAACAACAGGACCGTAGCCGTAGCCTCTTCTTTTTTCACCTGGTCAAAAAAGCAAGATACTCAAACTCTTCTTGTAGATTAACCAATCCTAGAAGTATTCTGTAATTCATCAGGCTTGGGCCGTTTGGAACAGGTGAAGGCCTTTGTAGTCTGTACCAGGATCGCGATGATTCACATATATATATACTCCTGCAATAGCTTGTTGCTGCAAATCAACACTAACACATGTATTGTATAGGCTCCATTATGTTCGGCTGCTCCTTCACCAGATCCCGATTTCAACCACCTCAGGATGCGAAGACCGCAGGCTGGGCCTGTTGGGTGTAGAATGTTCATTCTAGTAACAAGAGAACGCTACTAGTAACAAAGGGCATCGCTACTAGGAGCAAGGACGCTACTAGTAGCTCTTGGCCTTACTACTAGTAACAAGAAGCTATATACTCTATGTTGTTTCTTTACATGTCAGCAAGGGATGCGGTATGATGTACCTATGTACCAAACAGGCCATACAGGTATCAAGCATGCAACATTATAAAATATGTATATATATACTGTATGTGTGTGTCCTATTTTGAACTTTGGCTCAAACACTTCAACTTGTGTAATTACCGTAGTTTCCAAGTCCAGCAACATGATTGACACCCAACAGTGACACGGAGTCTCAAGCCCTTTTGTGTATCCACTTCTGTGTTGGATGAAACCAAGAACTGCGTTCAAAAGAAGTGAACAGATTCAATTAAGTTGGTAAGGTTGCTAAAAGCATCACGTGTGTTTTACATGCTTGTTAAAATTCAAGTCCTGCCAAGGAACTGGACGATGAAGTCGCCAATGGGTGGAACACTTAGAGACTCCGTATAGTTACCGTAGTTACCTCTTTGCTGAAGACTGTCGCATCAGTGTGAGTGTTTAACTACTTCCCTTGGCAGACGCTGGTCGAATGAGTAGACCGCATGCACGTTCTGTTTACTACTAGGAGCAAGGACGCTACTAGGGTCTCCAACAATTTCTCAGTTCATTGACGTGGGAAGAGATTGCGTTGCCGCAGCACACGAGGAGGGCCCAAAGAATAGTGTCAAAGGCAATTAAGAGACGGGTCCAAAACCTGAGTAACCTGCCGAAGTGTTGCCAGGCCATGGTCCGAAACCAACCAGAAGAAAAAAAACATATCGACTTGCAAGTTCTTTGGAATATCCAAGGAGAACGGCGTACTGAGGGCTTGAGCAAGACTTGCAAATGATGTGAGACATGAACTTTAGCAACATGAGTAACATGAGCAAAAAAGCTCCTAGTAGCTTCTTGTTCCTAGTGTACGGCCAGGAGCCCCTAGTAGCGAACATTGTTCCTAGTAGCGATGCCGTTTGCTCCTAGTAGTGTCCTCTACCCCTCATGACTCATGACATGGTTCCAATCACTCCACATCCGGCCGGCCACCAGGATTGCGCTGTTTCATTGCCACATCACACGTGCCACATCGAGGGTCATCGCACCGATTCAGCGAATCTCGCTGAGGGTCATCTCACTCGACCTGCTCGTTAGGTCCAAGGGGGAAAGAGCTTTTTGATTCTATTTAGCTCGCCCTTAATTAAGTAGGCGCCTACTTAATCAAGTAAGAGTCAGTAAGAGCGACTAGTTCCACCCTGGCTAGGACGCAGGATAGCTCACGCTTCTTCAAGGACGCTCCCCCCGCCGCCCTACAGGCCGGGGGGAAGCTTCCTTGAAGAAGCACTCGCACTAATGACTTGGTTCCTAGTTCATTTTGGGAAACTTAACTTCCAAAAGAAGTGACAGAAGTGAAACTATGAAGGCCCTGCAGCCTTTAGAAAAGGGCAGGATTTTTCCAACATGCATTGAACAAGTGTAAACAGGCCCTAATCCGCGCAAGCCCGCGCAACCAAATTTAGACAATTTTAGACATAATTCTCGGCGCACAGCTTTTGCAGGAGCTACCGTTCGGCAGAGACCTCCATCAGCCAGGCGCAAACAGTTTTTGCAGGGCCTTTTTGTTGACTTGACATTTGGTGCCGGATGGTAGGGGGACAGAAACGACTGAATGGATGACCCAAAGAAAGTCATTTGCCGGACCTATATTTACAACTATTCACACAACTTGACATTGCCACTGAATGCACGGCATATTGTGCGGGCATTTGTTATGCTTGATTCCAAAGTTGTATCTGAAGTTCTGGCTCGTGCCCTTACTGGGCAGTTCCTGAAGAGATTTTCAGCCCTTCACGGGCAGTTCCTGCAGAGATGAAAATCTTGTTCCTGCTCTTTGGAGTACCTTGGCTGCTGTTGTTTCACGTGTTTTGCGTCTGGTCACAGAACTTTGTTGGATATGTGCATGCTGTGATTGTCCCATGAATGTGTCCAAAAGGATGAACAACTATTTGTTCAATCAATGAGTGTGCAAAACATGTGCTAGGTCATTTTCTCGCTAGTGTTCCTTGTTTCGTTGGCAGAAGCTTTTGAGGGTAGCCCCTTGCACTTCAGAATGTATCTCATTTCAGAGGAGAGTCAAATTCCTGTTCCAGCGCACCCTGCACAAATTCATTTGAGCCAACACTTTACACATATTTTTTGTGACCTTGTTTGTTTGGTTGAGCTAGGCACAAAGCCATACTATGATGTTTCCGTTTGTTTGATGTTGCTTCCCCGGTCTAGCATCATTTGTCCTTATATGTGGCAGTTTGCAAGTGGATGCTTTTCCTTTAATTTTCCGCTGAGGTGTTCCTCCTGTATTGGGAGCCATGTCGCATCTTTGGCAAGCAGGATACAAGTTCTACTTTTTGAGAGATGCACCAGTTCCAAGCTAAGACCTTCAATCAGCTTGTATAGTTTAGTTACATTTATGGTTCTTGGTCGTATTTTAGTTTTGTGATGCATTTCTTAGTGGCTTGGCAATTATATAAGTATCTCGTTCGCCCCAGACCTCACATTGACGAGATCAACCACAAGAAGTGTCTTACACCAGCAGCATCCACATTTGGGATAATTAGGTAGGTTTTAGGGCCCGACCCACTTTACTGACGTGTTCAAGGCAGCTTCAGCATGCTCAACTCTGGGCGATCCTGCCGTGGCCAGACACCGCAGAGGCTCGGGCTAGCTGCAATTGGTATGGCTTGGTTCTGAAGAATGCCCAAGTGGAATGTGAAGCTAGCGATGACATGTGTCAAACCCAACATTGGAAAATCCAAAATTAGTATGATGATTATGTGAATGTACTCTCAATGGCGGTAGGTCTATTTTTCTCGTAGCATATCGTAACTTGGCGTCGGTGTGGCAAAATATCTCAGCAGCTGAATGAAACCATGCACAAGGTCACGAGGTACATGAAAATTCCAGTGCACAATTCGACAAGGTTTGAAAGTGCTGCAAGGCTCACCCGGAATTATATAAGTCTCAACTGGTTTGTCGTTGAACATTCCCACCGCAGTCCTCCCAACTCACCAGTAGCTTCGCTGGCAGTAGTTTCAATATCGCCCAAACGCTGCGCTTGCTGCTTACCAATTTATACGGGAGTTGATCAAATTTGTTTTGGCAGTTCTTCATGTATGGAGGGACCGTGAGGGACCCTTGTGATGATTTAGCACCGTTTTGTAAAAGATTTGCTCAGAGTCTCAGAGTGGTGTTTGAAGTCCTGTCTTTTTTAAGTGACCTCCTTTTCAGGACAACTGCACTGGCTATGTACACTGTATATATGAGCATCTGACTTCCGTACATACACTTTAGTCATGAGCCGCCTTAAGTATTTCTGAATTGATCAACACCTTGCAAACCGATAGGGGCCGGTGGCCAACCCTATACCGATGCCCTTTCTTGATTGAAAATAGCTCATTGCCTGCATTCCAACACTGTGAAACCCGATAGGGCCAAACCAAACTACTTTTGGCATTGGGGACACGAAGAAGGTTTGTCCGCCACTGCGCCACTCATGTTTATATATATATATATATATTATATATATATTATACAGTTAAGCAAGTGTTCTTAGTTTGCCCTTCAGGGGCCTTTGCAAAACGGTAGTGCTCACAACCTGCAAAAGATGTCACACCTATAAACTATACCCATTCGTTTAAGTTTTTCCTAAAAATCTAGGAACCAAATCATTAGTGCAGCGCTTCTTCAAAGAAGCTTCCCCCGCCGCCTTCAGGGCGGCGGGGGGAGCTTCACTGAAGAAGCGTGAGCTATCCTGCGTCCATACTAGTGGTAGCTTGAGTAAGGTAAGGTACTAGCTGCCTCTCCCTACTAGATACCTCCCTAGCTACTTTCTACCTCGCCTCTACTAGTGGCCTACACCCCCTAAAAATATGTGTGTATATATTTAGTATTACCTGGCCTTACTAGGAGCAAGGACGCTACAAACATGTGGCCCAGCCCTGCAGTCACTTGCAGTCGCCTGCAGCGGACGGTTCGAACCAGGAGCTATGTCACGGAAGTGCCTGCGCTCTCGGTGACCAGCCGCCTGGGCACTTGGAGTTTGGCCCTTCGAAGCTTTGCGAGGCCAGAAGGGCGAAGCTTGATACCTGCAATCTCTTTGACGCATTTATTTATGATTCTGAATGCTTCATAGACTCAGAAAAGGGTTTGAGATGTTGCTAATTGAAGAATGATTGCAGATTTTCTAATGCTTTGTCGTGTCAACCCTGCGGTTCCTTGTATGATGACGCAGCAATTTCCGAAGCAGATTGGGAAGGTTCAGGACGCTGTTCGCTGGATGATTCGACTGCGAGTAAGCAAACTGGTGGGGCACTAGGACATTTTAAAGAGGTGAAAAGGGAAGGACGATGAGAAGGCCCCTTCCATTGTTTCATCACTTTTAAAGCCGGCCGGTGCCCCCGAGGGGGCTGGCGTCACCATTCTTCGGGCCTTGAGGCGAGTTTTGGCGTTCTTGAGTATGTTTGCATGGTGGAACAGCTCCACTTCAAAGGCAGATCCGCCGACATGCGGTGCGGCGCGATGCGTGTTTGCTTTTGAATGATTGTCCTCCCGTCTTGGCTCTTGGAATAACAAGTGAACGCTGATTCCAATTGGTTCAGTCTGTGTGGTTAGCCGCTTATTGAGATGATCAAATGTGCCTAGCACATGATTTCAGCAACCTTCCGCCACAACTCGGCGAGATTTGCCAGGCCCACAGGGCAGCCGTCCCAGCACCCAAAGTGATGCTGGAGACTCCGGTGGCTTTGGCACCACCAAAGGTTCCTTGGCAGGAGTTCCATCGAACTTTCGATTCATCAAGAATTCGATCACCTCGAAGGTTAGTGAAAGTTAGCTGCTCTTGACCTTCCCGAGTGGAAGCTTGTAGGACTATTTTGGACAATGGTGGTCTCATTGCCAAATAGAAACATACCAGAAGGAAAGTACTGTAATGTATGTTTTAAATGTGCAAGTATTGACTGCAGACGATTCAAAAGACCTCGTCCTTGGCCTTCCTGTGTTGTCCTTGTTGCTCGTTTGGTTTGTCATTTAAAAGTGTGTCGTTAGCAATACATTTCAGGGGCATAAGATGCGACAATAGACACGAGATACAGCGAGGTACTGTACCTGTTTCTTTTTTCCCGAAAGCATTGCGAAGGGTTCTTCCGGAAAATCCTTTGAACATCTTTGAACACTGACACTTCGACACTTACACTTACACACTGACACTTCCACTACAGTCGCACTACATACACTGACACTTCGACATTGACACTTACACATACACACTGACACTCGGCAAGCACGCAGTGTAAGTATACAAGTGATGGGTACGCAAGCATGCTTTGAGCATGCAAGCATGCAATGAGTAGGCAAGTGTGAGTATGGAAAACTAGCACGGGAGATGTCCTAATGAAAAAACATTTCCCCACTTTATAAATTCTCTCTTAAAGGCGGAGGGCGGGACGAACAGCGTCAACCGAAAGTGCAACCCTCTGCGGAGATCGTGCGTGTCGAGTGCGCGAAATACAGGCGAGAGTGCGATTTGCCGGCTGCCCGCGCAACCCTCTGCGGAGATCGTGCGTGTCGAGCGCGCGAAATGCAGGCGAGAGTGCGATTTGCCGGCTGCGCGCGCAACCCTCTGCGGAGATCGTGCGTGTCGAGTGCGCGAAATGCAGGCGAGAGCGCGATTTGTCGGCTGCGCGCGCAACCCTCTGCGGAGATCG